GCATCACTATTATACTATAATAACTGTTCTAAGTGTTCTTATTAATTTAATGATTACTATTAAGTTTAATATTGAGGGTGTGGCTTTCTATATTTCCGGAAATGTCCGTTTACAGAGGTAAAATCACATGTTTAGAAGCTTCTTTGTGCTTGTAAAACTGTCCGCTGTCCGGAGTTTAGAGGTGGTCGCTTCTGGGAGGTTGCTAATGTACAGTAAGATGGGCTATTTTCATCGGTGACTGCAGGTTTGTCCGCTCTAGAGAGTGTGTCCGCTTTCAGAGGTTTGACTGTATTACAATTGATGAAACAACATACCTGCTAATCTATCAAATTATAACAAATTTTTACAAATAATGTGTGTAAATATAAAATCCTACTATACTTTTTGCAATGCATTACATACAATGTACATCATTGCTTAAACTTAGACTTTTCACCTGCTATACTAATTAATTGGCCAGTATAGTTCCTATTACAATTTCTAATTTCAACAAATACAATGTACATGTACTACATTCAGTACATTGTACATTAAAATCCATACATTATCAAAGAACAGAGCACAAACTAAAGGTACATGTAAATTATTTTTTAACCTTCAAAGGTTTGCTTAATTTATGGTATTGAAGGCTGTGCTTTATATCAACTCCAATGTGGTAAAGAGGCACTCATTAATTTAATAGCTGTGTAATATCTTTTTAAACTACTGCTAAGTAAAATCTTTGCCTTTGAAGGTTTGTCATTTTGAAAAATCCCAGAAGGTTATTTTTTTGCTCATGCTTGATAAAGAAATGATAAACAATATCCATCAACAACATTAAACATGATTCCATTCATTCATTAATTTACATAAGCATATGTTTCACTCATTAAATGCAACAACAAGTGCAATTCCCAACAAATACACACTCAGCATTAAAACTACATGTAAAAATACACTACACGGTTTGGTCTCTCTTTTGCTAGTATAAGTATGTCATGCTTATACATCATATACAATATACATGTACCTATTCTGTATACATAATTAATCAGGATGTACAAATTTGACTAAACAATAAACATGTGCTTAAGCATCGACATCAAAGTAGATGTAGATGTACATGTACTGCTGTGTAATAATACTGCGCCCACTGATGGGGGCTCATGTGTACCATTTAAGCCATTAAGATTATACACAAATTGATACACATAACAATCAAGTTATACTGAATAGGTCAAACCAAAAGCAAAAGTACCATAACGGATGATGATGCAATAAGCACACATGATATGTACATGTATGGTGGAGCAAGAAAGCATCGATTGGGTTCAAATAATCACAAAGATGAAGATGATCCTTTTGATATCATGGGAACAGATTTATCAGAGAGAATGAGTGAACAAAATGAGGCACACATTGAACTGGACCATATTGTACAGTCAGGTACTTATTAGTTAATTAATATAATATCTATTAATATTCTCCTAAGGTCGCATAAGAGGAAAACG